TCAATGCCCATGTTCAGGTTGTCAGACATAGCAAAAGGTATTGTTTATGGTGAAGGGTGTCGGGGGTGATTCCATTTTCGTGTTTCAAATACATATTTTTCATAATCATTTTGTCCTGTGGCTCTAGAGCCGTTTGTACGTAACTATTCGGACCCATTTGATTGCTGGCTGATAACCTCAAGAGCTTTATGAAAGCGTTGAAAGTAATTAAGAACTCGAGGGGACAATTAAAAGCGATTCCCTCGGATCATTTCCACTCCACACACGTTCGATATATAGAAACAAGTCTAAACTGGCACTAGCTGTGCAAATGCGGGGATAACTGACTTTGGCCGAGTCACTGGCCTGGGACAGCCAGCGTTAGACAAAGGTCTTTGGACGACTCACTTGCTAACACTTTTCGCCCGTCAACGGCGCTTGATATTTATTTCATTTCAGAAGCTGACGAGTCGAGAGCCAGCTCCCTACCCCCCAGCACGCGTTTATAATTTGTCTGGCCAAACTGTCGTCGTTGTGTCGTGTGAAGCTTTGATTACTGCCAAGTATATATTTTGGCCACATTCTTTGTCCGCGTTTCAGACTGGACACATTCATGCAGCAGGTTTTAGTCACCTGAATTTACTGTTGTATTATATGTACATATTTTTAAAGCTTTTATTTATACTCATCCAATGTTGTTATACGATGGAAGGCCATAGACATATGGCTGCTGTGGCTTGTTAACTTGTCGCTCGAGGCGTTTGAACTTTTAACGCTTTCCATGCTTTATTCGCATTCACATTCGCGTTCCCATTTTCCCCCATTTTGTCGTTCTCTGTCTAAAGTTCATTGTTAATACGCTTTCCCTCTCAGCTTTGTTCTCTGTCCATGTTCGTGCCAGCTTCTCCTCAGTGATTCTACTCTGGTTAGTGCCCCCCTCGAAAATAGTTTGCACACAAAGCCACATTAAAATCGACTTGCCAAGAATTGTGGCGTTAGATACAAACAAAAAATTTATCCTGATGCGGAACTTGGAATTTATTTTGACCCCAAGCTGGAGGCCCAGTTTCAGCTTGACTTTCTCCCCATATTGGTTTAATAATTCTCTAAAATTCTCCTTGAGATTTGCTGCTTTTCACTTTCATTTGACGAAAGCGCGCAGGTTGGCTAAACGGTTATTTAATGAGTGACAGCAATCGCTCGACAATTATGCCATAAATGTTTGCCAATTAACATGATTTACACTTCACCAGGCATGTGGGAGTCTCAAGCTAAAATTTCTCACTTTTTTTTGCCGCCCCCGAGTGACTCACCTGGCCTGGTTATTGTTCAATTAAGGCTACATCCTGAGTAAACTCTTTTGAAAGCCAAACTTTGGCGTAACGACTGTAAAAAATCACTGCTATTACCTTCATTTCACTGTGGGGTAAGCATTTGTTTACTTGGCACATATTTTTGCATCGTCGAGACGCTTGTTGAGGCCTAATGACTCATTAGCATAATCTGTAATTTTTGTATTTCTCTTTCGTGACATGTAGCACTCAGGAGAGTGTGCCGTTAGGAAAGTCGACGATTAATGCCGATTTCGCTCGATAATTGTGTGCCTGCCGCTCGATAATGTTCCACAGAAGATGAGATCTAGGGGTCAGGAACCCGTGGGCCGAATGTTTTGGCAATTGGTATTCAGTAGGGTTGCTCTTCTACCTATTCCCAACTGGAGTACAAGAGATCTGCGAGAAATCTGGCATCGGCTGTCCCTGCCCACATGCTTGACTTGTGCCCAAAAACTTCTACCCTCGAAGTAAAACGTGTTTAAAGCTTAGCTTTAACCGGTTATGTAATGCACTTTGGTTGAGGAAAATCTCAGCTCAATGACATTTGCACCCTCCGTCAGGGCCAGCGGCGACGGGCCCTTAGCCACCGATCATAAATCAAACTTCAGCCACAATCAAAGCAGACTTTGGCCTAATAGAAACGCGTTGCCTTAAGTGATATCGTAAGCACACTCTTGAGGGCCATGTAGATGTGAGTGTTGTGATTGGCGCCAGTCCCCAAAACCAGCTGGGTAAACTATTTTAAGGAAATTAACAAATTTATTTGGGATTTTTCTACGATGTAAGTGCCTGGGACTGCCCAAGCCAAGCAGCAAGTCCCAGGCTGATTCCACTCAATTTCGCTCAGTTATTGAACTAATTCAATAAACAATTTATGTTTGTTAAGAGTTTATTAGAATAAACCGGTCGCAGCTTGATTTTTTTGTTCGTCTCGCTTTGGGAAATTTTCACGCTCCAAAACTTGGATGACAACAAAGCTGTATTATTTAATCATTAATAAGCCAGAACGTGACTGGTGACGCCGGCTACTTCAGGTTCCAATGAGGAAGCTTGCTTGCTTACCAGTTCTCTCAGCCGGTCTGATCTCTAGCAGCTCGACGCGTGCCTTGTGCCTTTCACCCGGCATTCGGAATTCTAGTAAAAAGTTCCTGTATCAATTAAAGTCACTCGGGGGGTCAGGGATACACGAATCGGAAGTCTTTATATTGTGTGTTCTTTGGGCAAGTCACTTCCCCTCTCTCTCTCTCTGTTTGCGAGTTTTAAATTGTGTTTTGTTGTGGCTGTTAAACCTGACCTTACTACTTATTTTATAACTTTACCCAGGCATGTGCAGATTAAAGTCTTTTTTTTTTAGCGATGTGAAAACGCAATTACCCTGGCAGGGACCCGGCAAGGGACCACATGAAACCAATTACCGGGACATGCAAGCTCTTGCGAGGGACATCGCGATTAATGTAATTAAGAATTCACATATGCACGTGTGATGTAATGTGTATCGCCGCAGGCACCAGGGTGGAAACTTCTTCCCACTATGCTGTAGCTGAAGCTGGAGCAGTGCGATAACACCAGCACTTTGCAGCGATTAAAAATGTTCAACAGATTTCCCAGGACAGTCGCAAACCCGGGGATGTGGACAAACAGATAAGGGAGACAAGTGCAAGTAGTGGCCGGGACTGATGTAAGAATCGTGGTAAAATGGCCTGAAGAATGATATTTATATTGATTGTTCTCTTATTTTGCTGGACTGAGTAATTACCAGCCGAGGCTTCCATCTTTTCAATGAGAGAGAAAGTTCTGCCTGTCTTAAATAGCAAACTTCACTGGTCTGCAAAAATCCATTCGAAACTCGAGAACGATTAAATACTTTCCACTTAATTCCCCGGATGATTGCCACCAAGTTCAATGCACTTTGCAGACCCAGACCAAGGCGGAGCGGGTTGTGTGGCATGAGTTTTGTGGGGATGATGGGAAAACAACGGGCGATAAACATTGAAAAACTTCGTATACAAACACAGCGAGATATCAGCGACAAAGGAACGGCTGCCCCCAACATATTGGCGTTGGTTAATTGAGAGTACGACGTTAAATTACAGATTAATTTTTATGATGGTTTTGGTCCATGTCGACACAGACAGGGGGGAGTTGATAAATGTTTGCAGAGGGTTTCCCAATCTGCAGGTAACGCAATGCGGAAGCGTTGTCGTTTCACTTTTCCTCGCTGCTCCGAGGCATATTTGGCTTGCGACATTTCCCTTCATTTCGCATACGGCTTTCGCTTTTCCCCCCAGCACCGGGGAGTACCTCATCTCGATCCCCCTCCGGCTCTTGCATACAGCAAACAAGTTTCTGTTTTTCCCTATAATAAACGCATCCGTTCGAGATGTTGGTCAAGAACATTATTTCTAAGTGACCCACTTAGGCAGGCGGCTGTTGGGGGAGGAGGGGAGCCAAGACTGCAAGACTTTTACTGATATCGAGAAGCAACTACAGGGATTTCGACACCCTTCAGTTCATCATCATTGAGCTTGTTTCAACTCCAATCTAGCTGTGCCCAATGCAATTGCTGTTTGCTGTTCTTTGAAATGAGAAACTCGTTTTCCCCGTCGCTTTTCATTTGGCTTTTTAGGAGCTATCGGGGAGGTGACTGTTGGTGCGGTGCAGCCAAGTCCGCAGATATACATACAAGCGACACAGTTCGTTGCCAAAAATGCAGCATTAACAATAGACAGTGGCAACAATAACAATAACAGTGAGAGGAACAACAAACATCAGCCAAAATGGAAGTCTTAAATATGGTTGAAGAGAGAGAGCCCAGGAGGTCCTTGCGCCTGCGCCAGCCATCCGTTCTTTCTCTCCCACAACTATCGCCTTGTTTTTGTTTTCGTTGACATCCCAGAGGTTGGAGGCCCTAGCGAAAATCCAGCGGAATATTTGCTGCCCTCCAGACTTGGTTGCCGATTTCCCTTTTCGCCAGATGGCAATGACTCTCGGGGAAATGAATTAACAACCGGGAAGAGAGACTGGCCCCATGGACTGCATTTCAGCGAGACCTGCCTGGTCCCCTTTGCTTCCCAATTAGAACCAAGTTCGAGTCGCTTAAGGAGTTTTTCTGATTTGCTGCCACATGGACTCCCTTATGCCCTTATTCGACGAAGTGCGATGAAGGAGCGGCAGCACCAGCACTGGGGCCGCTGCTTGCGTGCGTTTTTATTGATTTTTCCCAGAGTCTTTTTCCCTGCTCACTGCTCGGTTGCTCTACGGCTGCATTAATGTTGTTCCATTACCGGGAGAATGTATATTTCCTCAGCTGCTTTTCCCAGACCTAATTATTCGTGTCGCTCTCATATAAAAAAAGAGTCCAACATGGCGTTTAGGTTGGAACTTGTACTTTTAACTTGATATAAATTTATGGAGGTGGGAGATGGGAAGATTCTCCACATCTCTGGTCTGTTTACCTGTTGCATAAATTATTAAAGATATCTAATTTCCGCAAAATAAATACTCCCTTGGTATTTGCCACCACTATCTGTATTTCTCCCTGGCTTTTGGTGCCTGCTCCCAAGCATTGAACTCGCGTGCGAATCTTGAAAGTGCGTTGCTCAATGTTATCAGTCTGCCCCCTCGGCTTGCCATCTTTTCCAGATAAACAGAACGAAACACTTGGCGAAATAGCAAAAATTAGCTTACCTCTGTCAAGGCGAGTAAATTCCCAGTTCTTGTGGAGGAGAACACGGAGATTTTTTGGAATTTCAAAACAGTTGTCGCTGGCGGCTGCTGAAGATATTCGGGATATTCGCTGCGGTTGTTGCTTTTGTTGCCCCCACAGCTGTTTGTGCCCCCCACTCACACACGCACAACATACATAAATAAACAACGAATACTTTCTTCGCTACGCTGCGATCGAAATATATATATATATATATTCGTGCCTCTTTATTTCTTAATTTTCTAGGCGCATTTTCGTAATAATTTCTGTTGCTCTTTTATCTACTATTTGTTGGAATATTTGCAGGTATTTCGCGAGATACTTTGCTGTCTGTGCAGTTTCCTCTAGATAGATATATATTTCCCTCAGTCAAACTGCAGCAGTCGCGGGTTTGTTAGTTCCGATACTATTATTTATTCACTAAACAAACTGATTAACGAAAACAATTATTAGAGATCCGCAGATACGCGCCGCTCGGAGCGCGGTTGCCGGCCGACGACGGAGATATCCAACTCGCTGCAGGTACGAGAAAAGACTGATTCAGCCGGACAGAGAATTCAAACTGGGAGCCGTTCCGCCGCTCATTTGAAACGAGAAATACGACTAATTTTGGGTAGTCGACCTTTGTACACCCCTTCAAGCTGTACAGAGTGGATAAAAGTTGATCATAAGTATGCCCTATGCTAAAAATATTTATATATGCTAAGTAACATAATAATAACGATTTTCTTTTATTTTTCCTATAGCCCCATGACAGCTATATTAAAAGAAAACTGTGAATTTTCCTGATTTCCCTATGACAGCTATATAAAATTAAAAACCGTGATTTTTAAATGGTAATATATATTTATACATTTTTTAAGCAATGTTTAAGAATAACGAATTTATTTTAATTTTCCTTTTAGATTTCCGATAGTTTGTATGACTATGAAAAGCAGTCCTTGTAGTGACTCCCAAGGGTGTAGAGTGCAGGAGGACAAAAATACAAAGCAACATTTATAGCGATTGGTATGTACAAAAGATCTTTTTAAAATGCCATATTTAGTTTTTCAAAGGTAGATTACTTAATTTGAAATGATAGTAAAAGAAAAATGCCTATATATATTATTTTTGCTGGCTTTAGACTAAAATTATAATACCCTCTGCTAGGGTATCACAACGCACGCGCAAATACAGAGAGTATTTCGCCGCGAAGAGTTCCGAAGAGCGAGCTGTGTCACAGCCACCACCAGCTGAGTGCAGTGAAGGCAAGAAAACAAAGCCGTTTTGGGATTGTCAGGGAGTATTGATACTCAGTGATTTAGGACAGAGACAGGCCCTCTTTCAAAACAAAACTGTATAAAGATCGAATTTATTTCCAATGCAAAAACAATCTGGGTTTTAGAGTTTTGGATTTTTAGAAGACACAACTCAATATACCCTTTAAACCCGCCTCGTAGTGGGTATTAGAATGTGTCTTCTCGTCTAGGAACACTTCCACTGAAGGCTTAGCCGGGTATTTTTAGACCTTGGCGGCCTGACACATGTCACATGCCCGCGCCTATGTCCATGCACTTTCCTCGTCTTGACCGCCTGATTCGGCAATGTGACCATCACTGGGTCATTTGGCCGCCTAATTGTCTCAGGTTAGACGGTGCCGACTTGGATTTGGTTAATGACTTCAGCGACTGTTCATATTTCTCATATATGCCTCCGGTTGCTCTGCTGAACCCTCTAAGACTCTCAGGTAGATCCAAGCAGAAATCAAAACAATGCGATGTCAGCACGTGAAGATAATCTTAGTCATTGGTGGTGATAAGGAGTCTCGTTCAAGTATTGTCAGACAACACAGCGTGACGCAATGAGATTCACGTCTCATTAATTTTTTTTTAGGCAAAGATTAGTGAACTTATTATAAATTATAGTTGAAAATTGATTTGATATTTAAAATGAAAAGGGTTCTTAAATTATTTATCATTAATTCCCAAAAACTCACTGCATTGTCGTAAAGCTAAACAAACAGGCCATTGCTTTGGCAACAAAGCGCGAGATTTAATGATCCATTGACAGCAGTGTCTTGGGTTCAATGACCAATCCCCCATAGAGAAGCAGCAATAATAATAAGATTGGAGGGTGCATTAGCATGCGAAAAGTTGCGATAAAGTGCGAACTGAACGGACTCTGAACCTTTTGGTTTTGAGATAAGAATGTCCTGTCATTTTGTGAATTCAAATCATGTAATATGGCAGAACGTACCTATTATTTTTATATACTCTTCCCTGGAGAAAAACGAATTTGAATTTACCCGAATTTGGACCATTTGCCTGCAGAAAGTAACTGAAGGCTACAAATTTTTATAAATTATAATGGAAAACTACTGGCTGCTATGAAACTTTATAGAGCCATCTATACAACTTACCGTACGATAAGCGGCCTCTATCGGAAATTTAATGAGGCGATGTATGTTTCAGTGTTGAAAAGTTACTTAAGTTACACAGCACTTTTATTTGAGCGCGAAGTTTAAATTTCCATTAGGAAATAAAAAGTAGGGGAAGAGCTGTATACCCTTGCAGTTTTCCCGATTTTATAAATTACTGGAGATGTATTAAAATTGTGAAAAATTCACAAATATATTTTGTTCAAAATATTTTGTTTGGTTTTTTATTCTGTTTTTTGTTTTTTTTCTTTCTTTGTCAGTCCCCGTCGCTGCGTTTTTATTATTCTTGTTATATTTTAAGTTTACATTTTATATACCCCCCCTTGGGTTCTAGTTATTGCAAAAGAGTAAAATCCAACATTTTATTTAATAACCTTTACTATTTATTGTAATGCATATACTTGATTTTTCTTTTACTTACACAAGTTAGGGTTGTAATATTTAATATTAAAATATTTTATTTGAGCTTATAAATTACTAACACTATGCGCGGGAAATATGTCGCCTTGTCACCATGTTATAATCGGTTATTTGTGGCGTTTTTCTATTTTACAAATTAGTTTACAAAACGGATAGATTTGCAGGGTTCCTTGAGGTTGGCTGAGATTTACAAAGCGGCGTCTACATTTACCTAGGAATGTTGCATCGGATGTCGGGGATGTTGGGAGTTGGGGTTTGGGGAATGTGCACAACTATGAGTGAATATCAGTGCATATGTTTCTATACAAATATACGAATTGCCTACGAGAACACTTACGACTACAGCTAATCTTCCACTTTGTATTCTTTTTGTTTTTCTCTCTTTTTTATAAAATAACATTAAAAATTTTGGTACAGTCATCGGCAATGCATCGGTCGATATATATCGATATCAATACTACTAATTGCAATGTCTTGCATTACGAACTAACTCCCACCCGAACTGGGCGGCATTAATGCTGTCTGTCTCGCGTATTTACAACATGACCTCTTCTCGATCGAAACCCCCTTGCATTTTGATTATATTACGTTCAATACTTAAATTATATAATAATACAGTGTGTAATAGATACTGTTTCGTGTATTGCCTCAAATGCTTTGTAAGCTTTGTCATATTCAATTACTTAACTAAAATTAATCGCAAAATAGCAAAATATAATTGGGAGTAGGAACTAAAAGCACCAGCACAAAATATACACAATTTCTTTGTTCGAACAAATGGAAGGGTAATCCTCGTAACTCAAATATTGTCCTTCAGAACAAAATATAAAACATACAGGGAAAAAAAAACAACTAAGGGTAGACATATTGCATCTAAGTTCACGTTCACATTCAAGTCCTCAGCGGAGGCAGCGCGTGGCTGGCGGCGGGACGAGTGGTAGGAGAAGCGCCGGGTGCCGGCTCCAGTGCCTCCATCTGCGCCTGGAGCTGGCGCTTAGCCCGGAAACGCTTGAGCTTGCGTCTGGCCAGGAACAGGTCGGGCTTGAAGCTCAGTTCACGGCAGGCCATCTGGTGCAGGGCGGGTCGCGACGACAGGGTCCGCTGGGTTGGGTTCTGCTCCTGGTCCAGCTCGAAGCCCGGAAAGTACATTGGATTGGCGTTGGCAGCCCCGGTTGCCCAATCCCGCCACAAGTTTCAATCCTGCCCAGCTCCCCCATTCGACTGTGTCAGCGGAGGTCCTGTCGCGCTCATCTCTCGCCGCTGTTCCAGCGACATGGGCATCCCGGGACCCGAGTAGTCGTCGTCTAGGGAGGAGGACTGCTTCGATCCCACCGACTTGCAGTCCTCATCCATGGTGACGCCCAGGTGGTGCATAGCAGCCGCCGCATGGTGGCGCTCCGATGGCGGCAGCAGGTTCAGCATGCTCAGTGGGAGGCCGGGAAAACCGCCCGCAAAGTCAGGGTAGAAGCCCTGCGGATTGAAGGGATTGAAGAGGGCATTCGGTCCGCTCAGCAGATCGGGCTCTGAGCTGTTGCTCCGCGGGCCACCTGGCGGGCCCAGTGGTAGTCCCAGCTCCAGATCCAGTGGTCCCAGGGAGCCCATTTCACTGGGATGCGGCATGGAGGGACCGGTTCCAGATGACTGACCTCCACCGCCAGGGGCATTCGAGGCTCCTCCGGAACTATTGTTGGCCGACGAGCCCTTGTCCTTTTCCTTTTCCTTGCGCTCCTTGTTCTTCTCGCTCTTGCTGGAGCTGCTGCCACCGCCCCCGCTGCCACCGCCCCCGCTGCCACCGCTGATGCCCATCTGGAGCATCTCGATGGGGGGTCCGCTGATGCAGTCCTTGCGCAGTTGCTCCAGCTTTAGGCTCTTTCCGTACTTGCCGCGCACGTACATGAGCAAGGAGTTGTATGGGATGCCGAAGATGCGTGAGGCCTGCGACGTGGTCATCTTCTTGTTCCACACATGCTGCAGTGCCTCCGTTAGCTCTGTGTTGGTCCAGGAGCGAGGTGGCCCACCGCGCGGTGCCGAGTGCTGTCCCTTTGGTCTTGGCACTGTAAGAAAAGAACGGGGACAAAGAAGATTAGTACTTGAGACAGCAAGGGCACACAGGAGGGGGCACTTGGGCGCCAAGAGCACGAGCACGAGTACGAGCTTATCGCCTCGCTTACATCTGCTAATGTTTCAATCTCTCCTGGCCTCATATGCTGCTGCTGCCTAGACAAATTTGCTGAAAAGTCACCCATTGTCTGGGGATCTGGGCAGCGTCTTGCCTTCAGCTCGTACACACCCTGCTACGATTCTTTGGCACCGGGTAGAGCGATCATTCGGCGCTGCAATGGCAACGAAGAAAGGCAAACGCTGTGGAGGTTCCCATCCTGACCCGGCCCCGGCCCCGGCTCTCCTCTGTATGCAAATTACGAGTGTGCAGCGGCTGCGGCGTCACATGCGCCGCTAAAACTCAATTTAGATCCTCAGATATCGCCCGGCACCGGCACTGGCACTGGCACCAGCGCCAGCAAAGCCACAGGTTCCTTTCAACCTTTGCCTGGCTGCTCGACAATGAAGGCAGAGTGGTAGAGAATGCTGGTGAATGTGTGGCTTGGGCTAACTACTAATTCCGAGGTTGCCTCGGCCTGATCATATGAATTTTCCTTTATTTGGGAGGTTGGAAACTGGGGCCTGCGCCTTCAGTTGCTGGGTCACAA